TGATTTTATTAAAAAGAATTAAATTTACACACAATGATTATAAGGCCTAACGTACAACAGTCAAATCATGCATATAGTTTAGTGCAAATATAACAAAAGAATACAATTCCTAGTTGGCAATAATCCTCAAAATTACATATAATCAAAATAAGACAAGAAGCTTTACAGAAGGAATATTAGATTCTTAAGCCTTCGTAGCTTTCCTTTTTTCTGCCACTTGAGCTAAAGCTTGTAAAATGTTAAGGGAGAGGGGTGAATACAACCATTCAACAACTAGAGTACATTTATCTTATGCAATTGCTTATTAATCGAAAGCTTCACATGTGGCCATGTGCAAATACGTATAAACATGTAAATTTCTCAACTTATAATAAAATCACATTTAATCACACTAAAATTCAAATAATCACATTATCATTTCCCACAATCATTGCATAATGCACATTGCCACAATAATAACAATTATGTAATAATGGTAAAAATAAATATCACAACTTGCTACAAACTTAGCAACCATGTAATATATTAGATAACAATGAATGATCTAACCATTTTTATATCCTCCTTATACTATCTGACAGAAATTGTGAGCTATAATTCAGATAGGGCTTTGTCCGCATAAATGGACTGCCCAAGCTCACTAATTGTGAAGAGTGACTCAGCCAAAGATCACTAAATTCACTCTTGGACCACAACTTTTTCCATTCTCAAATCATTGAAGTGTCATAAACCCTAAGCTAATTCCCTTGACAAACTGATGGAGTTAGCTAAGTTCAAAACATTTGACAAACAATATGACAATCCTTTGATAAACAGTGGAACAAGGCTTATCCTTCAATTCTAACGATTGATAGCTATTACCATGTCGATTTTTATCTACTCTTCTCCCTAAGTGAAGTCTCACAAAAATTGATTATGCTATGAATTATGCTCACACTTTTTACATATGCACATATACAAATCCAAGCTTATTTGGTTCATGCATCAAACTATCACAAGTGAGCATTATAAATATTTCCACTTATCTCACTTCACTTATATTCTCAATCTCATGTCACATTTGCATATTCTCCACTTTATTCACATATTACCTTGGAATGTTAATACAACAACACAATCATCTCATCAACTTGTTTACTTCTCATTTCAACACATAATTGTGGTATGCAAACATTTCAAATCCAAAGTTTATATTTATAGCCAAAATGGGATAATCAACACTTTATGTGACTTGCATATGGTTATAATCATGAAATTCAATCATTCTTGTCCATCATTTCATTTTCAAAACATAAATCAATTAACAAATACTTACACCAAAAGATTTCTTCCTATTACTTCAAACCTTTGAGTAGTCAAAGATTTACCTTTCAAATCAATGCTTCGCTCTCAAGCCAAATAGGTGCATGGATGATTAATCTAGAATTAGTTATGTCTAAACTCATTATTATCACCATTTATATAATTTAAACTCTTGTTTCAACACTCAAAATATCCTAAAGTTTTCATCTCTAGCGTCTAAGCTTACCCATTAGGTATTAACTTTTATTAACCCCAACTAACTTCATTAAGGTCCTAACTCATCATTAATGGCATTTAAACCTTTTCAACCACCCTAATAAATATAAATATTCAATCATAAATGCATCATCAACCACCAAAATGTGTAAAACCTTCAATAATTAGTTTAAACAAGGTAAATAACTCTCACTAACTTTATTTAAGTCAATTTAAACATATAGCCTTTATGGACCAAATGTTATATCTAAAAACAGACTCTAACCTTTAAAAATCTTAAAAGAGGAAAAGAAAAGAAGATTAGGGCTTTGGAAACTTATCTTTTGTGTTTGCTAATCTCAAAATGCTCCAAAATGCTCTAGGAAGTAAGCTCTAACAGTGCTCTCAAGCTTTCTTCATCTCTCTTGCCTTTCCTTCTCACTTCTCTTATGTTTTTTGAGTTGATTCATGACTTATCACTACTTGAATTTGGCTGTTTGCCACACCATGTAACATAGAGAGGGTTCTCTATGTGTTATGGCATGTCATGCCACTACACACTACTCATGTGTCGTGGCATTTGGCACATAATCATTTTTTTTTGAGGTCTAGGTAACCCAACTTTGCCTTAGACCCAAATCTAAGGCTGAAAATACAATTCAAAAATTCATCAGTCCTTTCTGATCACATAACATATTAATTTTACTTAATAACCCCTAATTAGTTTGATTAACAGGTGGCTAGTTTTTAGAATGTTATAGGCACAAAAAAAATAATTTGAAACTGATGGTGTTGGGAGTTAAAGAATTAAAAAGATACTTTATAAAATTAAAGATTCAAACTGAAATCTTATATGAAGTTAAAGGGTTAAAAGTATAATTTAGCCAAAAATAAAAATATGAGTAAAAAGGGTACAATATATCCATACATGTATTTTGGATAATTTAAATGATTTTCATGTAACATTTATATTTAAAGAAGGATATTTTTTTCAATATATGTGATTTAATGGTTAACTAACAGTTGAATAGATAAAAATAAAATTTTAAAAGCAGAATAAAAATTTGTATTAATAACTATTGATTTTATGAGAGGTTCACATGAATTTTAAAAATAGAGAGGATGTATCTATAATTAAAGTAAATTAAAATAGATGTGATATCATTGTATTTTACTCAAAATTTAATATACAGTAATAAAAATATCCCAATAAATAAGAATATTATATATAAGAAAGAAAAATTTCATATGAGAGACAAGAGGAATGATATCTTATTTTTAATATTAAATAAAAAATTTTAAATGGATCTTATATTTACGACCGGTATATAAAATTGTAATTTTGTAAGTGTGATGACTTAAAAAACCAACATTTAACAATATATATCATTCGAAAAATGTCTTTGTCAGAGGCATGATCTTGATTTATGAAAAATATTAGTTAAATTAGACTTTTTTTAGCGACTTCATTTCATAATGCATCAACTGAATAGGATGATGATAACACATCGATATCAAATGTGAGTGTGACTCGGTAAATGCCATAAATCAGAGATATTTGTCGCAAAATTTGAATTTACAATTATTTAAGTCCACAAGTATTTTTGATGAATTAATGTTAATCAATTGATTTTATTCACAATTCCAAATACCAATAGTTTAGAAATTTGGTATTTACAATTGGATTTACTCAAAAATATCATTTTATCAACTGAGGATATTATAATTATTAAATTTGGTGTTTATATTTTTATTTAAGTTGACAATTCATTTAACCAATTTATAATTATATTTTTCCAAATCGAACTGTCTTTCCACCCCTAGACATCACGTAGAGCAATTATCATTATCAATGGAGAGAATTGTCACTTACAAAAGCGACATGCCGGTTCCACCTTTTCTTCATGAAGTTCATTTACACAATCTCAATCAACAAATAGTACTCTCTATTTAGAAATATAAGTTTTTGTTTTAATTTTTTTCATAAAATTTTAATCCAGTTATTTATTTCGTCCCATTATACTTCAACGTCTAATTTTTATGTAGCATTTATCGGCACACTTATTTTTTAAAATTTTTATTAATATAAAAATAAATTATAGGCACATAAAAAATATAATAATTTCAAAATATTTATATTTTGAAACCCAAAGAATATTTCGGAAAAAACAAATATTATCATTTTTTAGAAATATTATTACTATTTATGGCACACATGTAACTAGTAGTTTTGTTCTTCTTTTTCTTCTTAAAAAAAAAAAAGTAGCTTTTCTTTCTTTTTGTATCTAAAGCATAAATATTTAATATTAAATTTCGTGAAGATAGGCTTAGGCAGCTGGCGCATATCACTTACTCTTTCCAAAATCCAAACTAACATAGAGCATTTTTTTAAAAAATTTTACTTAATTTAAAATATATATTATTGAATAATTTTTATAATTATTTTTAATTATATTTTTATTTTATTTTATTATTTATTTTTAAAAAATGATACATTAGAATTATAATTATTATTGTTAAAATATTTATATAAGATATTTAATGAGGGTAAAATTAAAAATATATAAATTTTTTTAAAAAATTAAAGTTTCAATTAAATTTTCTTAAAAACCTTAAATTTGTTATCACTATCCTATGTTTTGATGCAGAAAAGTATTATTTTTTTTTGTTTAAAAATGTAAGATATTTTTAATTAAATCTCACCTTCAATAAAATACTCCTTCCGTCTCAAATTACAGGGCACTTTTGAGAGAATTTTTTTATCCTAAAATATAAGACACTTTGGATATATTAAGGTTTCATTAAATGCACCAATTATAATATTAACCTTTTTTATAATTAATTTTCATCCCCTTTCTTTTTAATGCATTAAATGATGGGTATTTTTAAAAATTTATATTTATATTTTGAAAAGATAAAGTTATTAAGTGTATTTAATGAAATTTATTGGTAAGTGAGATTTTGTCTAAAAGTGTCCTATAATTTGGGATAGAGGGAGTACTTATTTATTTTTAAAATAACCTTATCTTTTTTTATTTACCCCTATTAAATACTTTATAATAAATATAAAATCATTCATCCATAAAAAAAGTAATAATTGTATCTCGAAAGATTAAAAATATCTTATATTTTTAAATATTAATTTTTTAAAAAATATTTTTATTTTTAATAGAGGAAGTATTTATTACCCATCTTCGTATATTTCAATTTCAATTTTTTAAAAAATTCTAAATTTTATTATCCTTTTCTAAATTTCTGCAATGATTCTCATTATTTGTTTGAGAGAAAAAGTTCTGATTATTTTATCTTAATCTAAACCTTAATATCTGGAAAAATCCTCCTCGAATTTTGATTATAAAATCTTGCGTTCGAAGATGTGCCACGTTTCAAAGATGAAAGCTGGCGAAGGATCAACCGTCCGATCTGACATGAGATGGGTCCACGCGGAGAGGAGCTATAAATAGGTCGAGACTCGAAGACATATGGTATGGTAGGGTATGGTATATAAATCCTGTGGGAAGGCAGAATTCCCATTCCTTGGTTCGCACGAAGAGGGAGACACAGAGTCTGACTTCAGAATTTAGATATTCGGAGTTTGGTGGGAAAAGTGAACGGAGAGGAATCTCTGGATTCCAACTCTTTCGACGGTGGTTATGCTGCTTGCCGTTCAGGTTCTCTTTGCACCTTGTTTGGCTTTGTCGTTACTTGATCTTCCTTTTTTGGCTCTTTTGTCTCGGCGTTTCCGATCGGATCCGATATAAATTGGATAGTCTCTTTTTGTTTCTGTGATTGGCTCGGCTCTAATCTAATGATCGTTCTCCTGGAAAACTTTAAATCGTCGTTCGTTTGCTTCTCGTTTATGAAAAATTTTGTCGAGCTCGATGGGTTGCATCTGAGAAGCGACTGTCGTTTGATTGTGCATCAAGCAATTTATTTGCCTGTCGAGGAGTTTTATCGCGGTTGATTTTTTTTTTTTGTCTTTTCGTAATGTTTAAGGGTCGAATTTGGGAGTCTGTGCTTCTTGGTGTATTTTTTCCTCACCGATAGGGGTTTTTTCTTGGGATTTTGTTGGATATTTTATTTGTCGTTAATTATATTATTGCATTTACTCCTGAATTTTGCTACTCTGATTGGCCTCGTGTTTGCTGTGCAATATCGTGTTATAATTGGCACGTGATGCTGGTTGCAGCTTGGACTGTTCTAATTTGGCTTAATCCAATACTTCTAATATCTTTCCTGGTTGCAATTTGCAAACTTAGATTATTCAGGTTTTTAGCATGTGCTACAAGCGTTTGCTGCATACATAATTCAAAACATTGATATCTCTTCTGAAGTTTTTATGCTGGAGATTTTTATTTCAGATTTTGGCTTACCTGATCCTGGTATGCTGATAACTTGCATTTCTTGACTAGCTAAGCTTCAAGTTTAGCCCTAAATTTCTAACTTCATGGTCAGCAACAGCGAATAGTATTTCCAATGCCATAGCCTATTATTTTTGATATATTTTTGTCAGAAATTTGGCAGTATGCAGCATGAAGAAGACATTGAAATTATAAGTTTGAGTTCGTTACTAAACTTTTCACTTTTGCCTTTTTACAGGGTGCCCTTGATTTGAATTTTGAAGGTCTTGTTTTCTCGTTCAAGATATGGAGACAATTTCTGTTTGGCCAAATTGCTACCATTATCGTTTGCTTTCTTTCCAAGAAGTGCATGATTGGCATATCTTTGTCCTTGTAGATTTTCTTCTGGTTTCCTTTGTTAATTGCACCTAGGGTTCTGTTCCTCTTGGATGATCACCACTGGGTACGTTATGCTAGTTTCTTCTGAGACAGGTGCTCCATCTTTAGTGCACCTGTGCAAGTAAGCGCTTGTTCTTCTTCTTTTGCTAAATTCAATATGAGAAATGTTTGTTAATAAATGTTCCCTTGGAACAGTGCATTGATGACCGAAAATCCAGTTAAAACATCTCGCAAATCTTCAATGGGGGTAAGACAATTTTCATGAACCACTTTCAATGAGAACAACTATAATCTTTTTTAATCTACTAAATTTAATTAGATCTTTTCTCTCTTCGTTAGGGCTGAAGTCTGTAGATTTCTGACTGAATGTTGGATGCTTCCTCCATGTCAACTACTGGATAAGCAGTTGCATTGAATCAGTGTGCCCTATTATCAATTTGTAATTAATTCGTTTTTGCTTGTGGTGGATATTGGTGGTGAACAAATATCAGTTACCTGAAGGCTCTGAAACAATTCATATTAGTTTTGAAGTAGCTATTACTGGAGTTCTCATGTCTTGGGTCGGTGGCATTTTGTAATGATCAATGTTGTTGCCTTGGTCACTCATTTTGGTTAGACTTGGGAAGTGGTAATATGATCTATAGTTCTTGTTCATCACTGCCACCTGCATCCTGCTACCCTTATGAAGCCATAGGTCTATCAATCAATAAGGCTGTGCAGCCCTTCCATCTGAAAGCTTCTGTTTTTGAGCCTTCCTATGCCTTGACAGAAAATTGATGGTGGTTCTTGCTGGAACAGCACCTATCTGTTGATACTCAGTAGACTTTCTCAGCATCGTCTGCGAGAGATACATTATATTATCTTGTGTGTTTTCTTATATCTTTTGAATAAAGAAAGGGCTGCTTTGCATTCCTAGCGAATAATGGAGAGGTAATCATCTGTTCTGAAGGTTATTTATTTTTCCTTGTTTCCTATTGACTCGTACTCATTTTGTTCCTTGGGGAGTGATCACAGGTACAAGTTAATCAAGGAAGTTGGTGATGGAGCATTTGGGAGTGTCTGGAGAGCTATTTATAAGCAAACTGGTGAAGTTGTAAGGGTGGTTAGCATGTTAAAAATTGCTATATCCTAAGCTATGCTCTATGTAGCTCTTGACAAGTTATTTGAAATTACAGGTTGCAATCAAGAAAATGAAGAAGAAATATTACTCTTGGGAGGAGTGTGTAAATCTGAGAGAGGTCAAGGTGATTACGTGTTCATCTTGCATAATTTATAGTTGCCTTGTTATATGCTTCTAATTTTTCCTCCGTTGGTTATATTCTTCCATATATACTTAAAAAACTTTTTCATCTTGTTGTAGTCATTGAGGAGAATGAATCACCCTAATATTGTGAAGCTGAAGGAAGTTATTCGAGAATGTGACATTCTATACTTTGTTTTTGAGTACATGGTAGGTGGCAATTTCTTTTGGCATAATGATAGGCACGTGTAAGTTCTAAAACTAACCAAGGTACCATTTGGGGAATGCAGGAATACAGCCTGTATCAACTCATGAAAGACAGGTCTAAGCTGTTTTCTGAAGATGAAGTTAGAAATTGGTGTTTTCAAATTTTCCAAAGTCTTGCTTACATGCACCAGCATGGATATTTTCACCGTGACCTGAAGCCAGGTAATTCTGTGGGTGCAGGCTTGGAAAAGTACATCTTGATATAGAATGTAGAGTTTCCTGTGTGGTCTGACATGGAAATCATACAATGTTGGTGGCATTTAGTTCTCTTTTTGTATTAAATGATTGTGTGTGTTATTGGAGAGGAGTTGATAATGAATGGAACAGCCACTTTGTCATGCTTACGTAGACTAGGTTCTTAGTCTGTTGTATTTATATATATTCTGCTGTTAGTTTTGCCAGTTTTATATGATGGAGACTGTTCTTTGCAGAAAACTTGCTGGTTACCAAGGATGTTATTAAAGTTGCTGATTTTGGTCTTGCACGAGAGATCAGCTCACAACCACCCTATACCAAATATGTCTCCACACGGTGGTAGGTATCTTTATTTAATGAGTTTTTGTTTCGACTATCTGTGTATAAGGGTTTTGGTGACTTCTATGATGATGACCTCTAACTAGGTATCGAGCTCCTGAAGTGCTGCTTCAGTCCTATCTTTACGGATCTGAAGTTGGTAAGTATCTGATGCACATTTATTTTGTTGCTTTTTGCCTTGTCTGATACCAGTTCCCTTAGTGACAAGGGACAGGATGAATAATGTAAGGACATTTTGTATACTAATTTTGGTATTTTACCCCTAGATATGTGGGCCATGGGTGCTATTATGGCTGAACTCTTCACTCTCCGTCCTCTTTTTCCTGGTGCCAGGTATTTTGCTTCTCTCTCTCTCTCCATTGCTTCCTCTGAGTTCTTTTTGTTGCTTGGAGGTTTCAAAATTTTTCCCTGTTGTGGGAAATAAGGTTTTTCTTTGCTTCTAATCTTCATATGAGTTTTCCACATATTTTATATGAGGTGATTTCTGAGTGAAGCAATCTGTATACCGAGTTTCCGTGGGAAATAAACACGTCTTAATGGCTTTGTATACAGTGAACCAGATGAGATCTACAAAATATGCAGTGTGATTGGCAGTCCAACCATTGAGTCATGGGCTGATGGGCTTAAACTTGCAAGGGATATCAACTATCAGTTTCCAGAGGTTTGCTTTAATTTGATTCATGCAATCTTTTTTAGCAAGCTTTTGGAGACTTCACTAATTCATGTGCCACTAATTATTTTATAATTTCTGTAATTTTAGTGGTAGATGTTTTATGCTAATATTGTGCATCCTTAAGCTAGGAAGTGTCTTCCACTAATTATTGTTATCATCTGCCTTCACCATGAATCATTGCAGTTTGCTGGTGTACATCTTTCTGTTCTAATCCCCTCTGCAAGCGCTGATGCTATTGACCTCATGACAGTAAGTAGCTCACCTCTATGCTAAAGACATTTCAATTATATCTACCTTCCATATGACGGAATGTGATGTATTTTTCCTGTTCCTTTCATGCAATATTGCAATCTATTTAGGCGCTTTGCTCATGGGATCCTTGCAAGAGGCCAACGGCTTATGAGGCCCTTCAGCACCCATTCTTTCAGGTGAGTTTTTAATTACGCATTGCGGATAACATTTATGTCTTTATCCTTACCTATTCCCTATGATTTTTCTGTTGTGCTGGTAATTCTTAGGCTCTCATTGTTCTTGTAGAGTTGCTTTTATATTCCTCCTTCCCTCCGCACCAAGGCAATTGCCAGAACACCTCCATCTGGTTCGTATTATTGTATTTGTAGTCTTGTTGGGTAGTTCAGGGTTTCTTGATATTCAAATTATAGGGAATACTAAGTGTCCTAGTTACCACAGCTGGAGCACGGGGATCAGTGTATCGGCATGATGTTAAGAGATATTCAAGTGCTTTATCTAATTCGAAGATAACCAATAATTTTTCTCCCTCGAAATCACATCCTCCTTTAGCTGCAGGTGACCGCTTGATTTTAGTTTTTTCTAGGTTATTTTTGCTAGGAATAATCATGTGCATGTACTGAACTTGCGGAGATTCTCATCTAGTGGTGACTGTTCTTTCAGGTGTGCAACGCAAGCTGGATCTGACAAATGAGGTGAATTCTGCTGTTATGTATCTCAGTCGTGTCTATTCTACCTTGGGATAGCTCTGTTTCTTACACCTGTCCATTGATTTCTGTCAAGCTATTTATTTCCAACAGATGCGTTTTGTCACGCATGACATCAACATAGGATAGGTTCCTGTAATATGGTGAAGCCATCGTTTGTTGGAAATTTCAACTTGTCTAAAATGTGGTGGTCATCTGTAAACTTTGGGTTATGGGATAAATCAAGGCTAGTTACATGCTATGCTATGCTTTTAACAGTCGTGGCTGGCATGCATCTCTGGACCTTGGTGCTGACCTGTTCCTGTTAAATCTTCTATCTTATTCTTCTGTGTAATGCCAACAAATTCTTGATTGTACAGAAGGTTGGAAACAAGACTGATAAGGCCTTGAAGAAACAACCGAAATATAGACCTCCCGGGAAGGACAGCCCAAGTAAGCAAGCATGTTAATATTAGTTGTTTCGTTAGGTATGAGAGTATGTGTGTGTTGTTTAATGATATGAAAAGTTAATGTTGGGTTTGCAGCGTCTATGAACAAGGGGAGGACAGTGCGTGGGGTTTCAGAAACAGCTGAGAAGTTTGCGAACATGAGTGTTGAAGTCCGTAGACAGTCTATGGGACAAGCTCGACGGCCTCCTGCAATGAAAGCAGGAGTGCAGTGGGGTTCGGAATCTAGAAACTTGCTGGCGAGGCCTGCTCAAGTTGTTTCTACTGGAAGAACTTTTCCTAGGAAAGTTGCTGGATGACAAGTACCAACCTAGTGATCTTCCTTCCATGTCAAATATGTTCTTAATGCTCCTCCAGAGTCCAGTATAGCTTTGCTATTAACTTTTTAATACTTCTGCGTTTGTTTTGTGTTTGATCGTTTGTATCCCTTATGTGGTGGGACGTAACCTGTGCGTTGCTGATTCGCTACTTTGTTTATTGTCTCATGTATTGAACGAGTTTTTATGAATAAATAGCACGCATTTATTTAGTTTCGTTTCCGATAACTCGAAGGCGAACCGTCCCGTTGAATTTTCCGAAAGCGTACGATTTTAGTTTCAGATTTACCTTGTCACTTTTTGAATAATTTTCAAGGTCGTCTTTGGATTGGGTGGATTTGGAGTAGTGAGGTTTACAAGTTCGAAAGTCTCTCATCAGTAATCAAAAGGATAGTCTCTTTTTATAGACTAGTGCACATTGATATTTTATTTGAGATCAAGGGTTTTGACAGGTAATGGGCTAAGTGAAATGCCATAAAGTAGATTCCCATTCATTTGTTCTCACATCTTGTTATCCGGTTGACACACTCCATTTTTAATAAGTGATGTCAAAATTGTGTTTTATAATTTTGTTCAAGACTCTTGAGTAAAAAAGATGATATTGGAAAACACGTGGTGTGCGCACATTTGAAGTTTAAAAATGAAACTAATCTTTGTTGATGTTACAAGATTTGAAGCCTGAAAAATTGGGCTAATCATGCTTGTTTATGTTGTTTTAGATATGGGGAGATTGTGAATTCATATTTGGTGAGGAGATTGTCAGGGTATTCAAGTTTATATGAATTCGAGTTAATATGGAAAGTCATATTAAGATAGAATTAAATTTACTTAGTAATATATAATAATATTTGTTCTATCTCCACTAGTTTTAGGGCTGACGTTCCTCTTTTCTAACAAGTCACTATACTAAAACCAAAGCTAACATAATTTTTGGCAATGTTGAAAGCCTATAATTATATACACATTTAAAATGTAAAATGTACTAACCTGGCTGTAGTAGAGATTTATGTGTGTTATACCATTTAAAGCTTGAAATTAGACTAAATTTGAAAGAACAAGGTTTGCATCATTTTTTATATGAGGAGCTTATGAACTTATACTTGAGAGAGACATGTTAGGATATTCAAGTATTAGTACACTTAAGTTGGTATGAGAAATTTTTTTATTATTTAAAACTGTATTTAAACTTGTAAATTTCAGTTTTGATATTTTGAATTAAGATATATCTTCCTCTACTTTTAATTGCCAATTTTTTCTCTTTTTCATCTTCAAGCATTCACTCTTTATTATCAACAAGGAATATCAAAATTACATTTCACTTGAAACCTTTATAAGAAAGATAATGTTAAAAACTTATAATCATGCATATATTTGAAGATTAAAATAGGATTGGCCTTAACTGCAACAATGACTTGTGCCTACTACATCATTTAAAGTCTGAAAATTAAACTAGCCCTAATTGCACTTATATGAATTTGGTGCTTGTGACATCTTTAATGTGAGGAGATTAATGTCTACACTTGAGGAAGAAATTATTATATTATCCAAGTATAAGTGCATTTAAGTCAATGTAAAAAGTTTTATATTTAATAAAAATTAGTTTTAATAACTAATATATAATAAGATGAAAAAAACACAAATTTTTTAAAATTGATTTAAGATATAGTCTCCTTTCACAACGTTCCCGACTGCCCCTTCCTAACAAGGGGCGATAAAGATAAGCAATCGGTCGAGCATACAAAATAGCATGTCAGTTATATTTTATAATATGATGTAACCATGTATAACAACTCAAAGTAAATACAAGAGGTGGTGCAGCAGCCACGACACTTTGCGCATGAGAGGGGGAAAAAATTAATAAATAGAAACAATCAATGAAGTCAAAGCAACTACCGTGACAAAATAATCCCAGAGGAAAAGGAAACAAAAAAAAAAAAAAAGATGGGGAGAAAGGAAATATACTGAAATGAACTATCAGAACTGCCCATCCCACAATGGTGAGTAGTTGTCTTGTCACCCATATTGACCAGTGAGTCACCACAAAAATGATCTGAAGTCTCATATGAGTATAACAGTGGTAATAAATAATGCCGCCTTGCACCGAAAAAAAAAAAAACAAAAAAACAAAACTGAGAAGGCCGTTGGACGGTCCATTGCTTACGCGTTAATATTTGTTGGTGGTGCAGAGCAGTGGAAGGGCAGGCCAGTTCTGTATCCACTCCAAAGTGTGGAGTTATATCGTTAGGGTTGAGTGGCAAACAAAATTGAGAATAATTTCAACTGTAATATTTTTGTTTGATGAAGGCTTCTTCAATCAAAGGTACTGTTCTTGTATTCTCTCCCTGTTCTCTTCCCACCATGTCTTTGCATTTACTTCTCCAAATCTTTCCCGACTGCCCACAAGTGAAACAGAGTCAATAATCTATATACTGGGTTTGCCTAATTTTTAACAGGCTAACCATATGTAACAGAATAGCATCATATATTTTTGTTACTAAAAAGTATTGAACACGTTTCTGAAGATATACAAATCAAGCAATAAGAGGAAATTTTCATGTGAACTAGAAACCTATGTTGATCGCTAAAGTTTATCTTGGTTCAAATGGCAGAATTTAAGGACATTAATCTGGAAACATGAAGTCTAGGAGCTTATGATTTCACTTCACCATACAGAAGAAGTTTCTAGGATCATCATCGGTTAAGGTTTTAACAAACATATATAAATTAAAACAAGACATGGATTGCGTTACCTGAACCTGACACGTCGGAGCTCCCTGGTACCGTCAGCTAATTGTCGGATTGTAATGTAGACCCCGGGCTCGTCTTCCTCAATCCATTCTGCCTCCATGTCACCGGCATTACTGACAGAAGGTTCATTTACAGAATCAGTAGTTGGGCGAGGTGGTTCCATGGATGATCCCGCTTGGAACTGGTGGCCAACAGCCTGATCAAAATGGTCAGAAGGGAAGTGTCCTCTGTATCCCGAGGGTCTATAGTGATGCCGCGGTGTCCACTCCTTGCTCTCTCGTGCAGATCCTAATCTTGTATAAGAAGAATCTCTTGCCTGTATCCATGTTGTTAAAAGATTCATTTGTAAGATATTAATATTATTTTTTGAGGTTGAACTCTGAAGTAATCTTCTATCTTTGTCACTGTTCTTTAGTTAAAATTAAATTTCAACACAATAGTAAGTATATTAAAGATCTCAGTAATAGTTTTACCCCAAAAAAAAATTCAAGATTACAATAATAGACTCTGCGTTGTTCTCAAATTATCTAGTTAAAATATTTAGTTTAAATTTTTTAAAAAAATTTGATAATAAGCAGTTACGAAAATTTATTTAGTTTTGTCTCAGAGTAAAATAATTTATCTTCACTAAATAAGCAAAATGATGATCCTATCCAAAAAAAAAAAGGAAAATGATAATGTAAGAAGGAGCTAATTTACCTCATCATCAGCCCTCGAGGGAGTTTGAAAAGCTTGTCGATTGAATCTTTGGACGTTATAGAGCTCCATGATCCGGTCGTAATTCTCACCCCACCATCTCTGAGCTTGCCATTTATTGAACATCTCTCGGCTTCAAGTTCAAATGCGAAGTATTGTCAGTCTGAGCTCGTACACCATAATTATGTCTCAACAACTAAAAAATTTTGTTTGGATTAAGAGCTTTTTTGAAGGTTCCCAATTCTAAGTTCATCGTAATTGAACAGGGAGTCAATATACTCAATGTCAGCATACTCTTCCAGTCCACTACTATGAAGCATTTGATCTAATTGCTGCAATTATCTACATTTGAACACATCCATCAAAAGCATCAACAAAGGACATTATAGCCTTATGGGAAACTTTGAAACTTACCACTATAAACTTTAGAGGGTTTCATTAAGTAAGCAATGACAACATTTTATTTTATTCTATTCTTGGTATCCAATATCAGTGTCACATGACTAATTTTGATTGCTATTGTTGCTCCATATAAAGTACTCCCTCCGTTTCAATTGGTAGGAAAAAAAAATTATCTCACATAATTTAAAAAAAATTAGTTAACTATATTAATTAAATTTAAAAATAAAATACTTAAACTAAAATACTCTTCATTAATTGTGCTAATCAAGTTTTCATTAATTATTTCTTAAAATTGTGAATAATGAAATTATAAAAAGTAATTTAAGAAATTTTTAATAAATGCTTACTGAAAAATATAATTTTATTTATATAAAAAAATAAGTTAACAGTGATAGTTTTTCTTTTAAATGAAAATGAGGGAGTACCAAATATGCAACTGAAAACAAAAGCCTAGCCTTTATATATAATTGACCCTACCTGAAGCGAATTCTTTTGAGATCATTCCCTCCATCAGGAAGAGACACAAAGGTGATGTGAACACCAGGTTCCACCTGAGCCATCCACTCCTTGGGTTCGTCCTCGTCCTCTAAAACTACATCACATGATTGTGCTGATACTGTTGAGTCGCGTCCGGCCCCAACAAATCTGGGGTCAGATCTACCACCGGGGTAACGGGAGCTTGTAAAGTCCCATGCAGGGGTTGAACTTGAACTTGCACCTCCAATGTAGGGATATGGAACCCCTTCAGATATAGTATCAAAGTCTGGAAAAGGTCTCTGCCCTTTCTTGTAGCTAGGGGACCCTGTGCAGGGTTTGCATTGCTTAATGAACATATCTTTTAACTGTACATTCACAATAAAAAACGCACATTAACATCTATGAATTCAAAGCATTGTTATAAGGAATAGAACAATAAAATTAGTTCGTTAGCGAAGAAAACTTATTTCGATTATATCTGAGGTTATACAATATTGTATATAAGGTGTATTCAGGCATAGATCGGATATTGGTGCAATTAGTAGCGTCTTTCATCCTGCTGATAATGGGCATTTTAAGATATTGGTAATCACATATTATTACCAACAGTAGTTAATTAGTTATTATCACTCAACATTAAAACATTACCAACACATTGCAGAGATGTTTACCGGCAGGATACTTAACTCATATCAGCATGCAAAGATGTTACTAATAACAGAGCGCAATATATATAAACTTAATTTGTCAATATCAAGTTTTTTAAATAAGCAAAACAAGAAGCGTTTGACCATAAAAGCTATTATCGAAAAAAAATTCACAAACAAATATATCATATATTTAGAAAATTTTTGGTCTTATAATATATCATTCTCAGGAGGATGATCACACAATGACTTTCAAAATCTTCCAAAGATGATGCCCAGGTACCCAAACATTTGAAACACCAAAATTTGTCTCAAATCAAATGCCATATACATGACTTCTACCGAAGCCTGAGTAAAAGTACCTTCACATATCCACCTTTTACAGTTCTTCTAACTTTAGCATGATGGAATTACTATTCTAGTGGGGACCGGTCTTCTTTTTAATTCCTATCATGCTGATATGCCAAGGCTTTCCGAATACCTGAGTGAGAGTCCTTTCCCCATCTCTTAACAGTGTAGATTCGCCTATAAATATTCTTTTCTTTTCTATTTTATCTCGAAAATGATTCTCTCAATCAATATTGGTATGTAGATCAAGGCAAAAAGTAAAGAGAGTAGAGAAACGATTTTTTATTTTCCAGAAGAGGAAATGATAATCATGCAATCAAACTATCAAATCGTATAAGCATATTGCTGATCAGAATTTGACCGAAAGAAGGAATAAAAAACTGAGGCATGGACACATGGTGATGGTACACAGGAAAGGAGTGGGGAAACCGCCTTGGAAGTTCTGAAAGAGAAAAGTGTATTTGAATAAAAATAGATGGAGATTGGAGTCTAAGGTTTCAGGCTAACTGGCTCACACCATTTTCAAAGCATCACGCGAAACCTTTACAGCTAGAGTATGTACTCGTCTAGATGTTACAAATGGATGACATCATCCCGTAATGTGAAGTCTTAAAGGAGCCTCCTTTGAGTCTTCGACACCATGTACTCTAACGGTAAGGTAAGCATTTTCTAATTGTTGAACCCTCTCAGTTCTCACCAATTTATAGCCAATTGTTAGTTGCCAAACTATGTTGCTTAATCATAAAATGCTTCCCGGCAAAATCTCTACCCCGACCATTTCAAGACAACTAATCAGCGTATTGACATGACGCGGATCAGAGATGATCATGCAGCAATTGTAAATAGACAAATACAAAGATAGTTTTTAGAAATATAGTGCCTTATATAGTGATCGATCAAAGTAGAAGTTACCATTATGCCCAGATATTTTTATGCCTTATAACTATCCAGGTTTGGCTTTTCGCTGATGTAAGTTTCTTTCTTTTCTATTAACGCCTGCGCGTGTGTGCGCGCTCATAAGCTTTTGACAACAAAGGGTCGACAAGAATTCAAGGATGGGCCACACCAAGGATACGCATTTAGCAGATTCTTCTGTGCATTGCATCTTTTATCAACAGATCAATTGCTGAATATGAAATATGTTCCCACTACTATTCTTCTCCTTTAATATAAGAAAAATTGACCAAAAATCGAAATTTCTTTTGAAATGCAAACAGAGCTAAGAATTGATGAAAAAGAGGAGGGAGGAAAAGCTACTGCCCGGTTAAATTTACTCCAACTTTATTAGCCTATTGTAAATGTGTAGCGGTGGAAAATAATCATTTCACACAGTTATTTAGCACTTTGCCCCGTTCAATACCAAGTTAGCGGTGTGATTTCTAACTCAAACATGCCTCTGAAAAAAGCTTCATTGGCCCAAGATAGTCATAACATAACGGGTCTCATGGCGCTAAATAATCTTGAACTTAACGAATAAAAAAACCATCATAAGGAAGCAGATCAAAAGGAAAAAAAAAAAAAAAAACAGGACAGGGAAGTGGACCATCCCTCAACAACAATGGGCCTAACGAGATACGTCATCTGTAGAACCGAAACAATTTACTCCCCACCCAAAACAGCGCCCTGTATTTTTGGGTAGAATAAAAAAAGGAGATTCAGGTGGAAATTTTAATTTATATATAATTTAAAAGTACTAAAAACTGGCTTTCTTAATTTTTATTAAAAAGAACTTTATATTTTGTTCTCTAGGATGGATTTTACATGACAATATAGGTATCCGTGGATATAAAAGATTCCAAGAATGGTCCCCGCTAAATCAGGGCCTTAATGGGGTTATCGTTTCCAGAAGTTCCGAAACCAAAAAGCAAACATTGTAGCTGAAGGGGAGAGGGTGGGGGTAGAGGGGAAGGGGGAAAAGAGAGAGAGGAACTAAGAACCTGCGCCGTCAGGCCTTTGACGGCCTCTTTCGTACTGGGCGTGCCACTGTCACGTCCACCTTCTTCTTCTTCCCTGTCATCCGTCGTTTGCTTCGTACATGCTATGCACGTAAACATCTTTACTCGCTATCCCCTTTTTGTTTCTGCCCAAAAATTAAATTCGGTGAATAAAAAAATTTGAACTGTCTAATTACCGCTCCACCTTCAAGTTTTGGTCTAATTAACAAAAAAAAATCACGTTAAAAAACTGAATATAATTAGAACAATTTGGGTATCAGGGGCGAATTCGATTGGCGGACGAAGTCACACTTTTTCTTTAATAAAACAGTGATAGGCAATGGCGATAGTTAGGTTGCAAAAAAAAAGAGCACCAAAATAAAGAAATCCCAGCTACAACCAAGTTCGAATGAAAAGAAAAGACAATGGAGTTATAATATTATATATGGTCAGGGCGAAACAAAATAGTCCTAGCAAAAGAGGAAAAAGGAAAAAGCATTATTCAACGAGGCTCGGGATCCGAGCAGAATGAAAGCAATCTCTAAAACCCAAAAGAATGAATGGCAATTGAAAACGGGTCTACTCAATAATTAAAAGTAGAAAGAAACAGAATGGGACAAGGGTTCTTCAAGCAGGTGTTGTTAGAGTGACCAAGGATACTATGTGCCCGCTTTAGCCTGCACAAATCGAAATCAAGAACCAAAGCGTGTCCAAGCGGACCAAGCCGAAGTTTCTGACACCATGCACCAACCCAAAAACCCCAATTAAAAAAATACACACTAATTTGTCCCCTGGACTCTCTCTTTTTCTTTTATGTATGGATCATTAATCACATCAATCCCCATTCTCCGAGATATCCAAATGAGAGAGAAACTGATACGTATTTCTATTATTAAAGAGTTGTGATATGACCAATGTTCTGTGCTTTTGGGGATTGAGAAACACAAAAATGGGTTGGGAAATCAAAGTATGTCGGAGGACGAAAGCAATGAGATGAATAAAATAAGAACTCGGAAATTGGAATCCTGTTTGGCATTTGGTTTCTAAGAGTAGAATGTAGTAGTCATTGCCAATTTGCCATTCCAAAATGACTTACCAAGCAAAACCTAAACTGCTTTTTGCACTCAAATGTTTCAGAGACCCGAGGCACAGCCACAAGGAGACTAATGAATCTTTCTTTCGGTATGGTGGTTTCACATATGCTTCAACTTCATCATCTACACCGCAACTCGATTTCTCACATTCGTTTGCAAAACCACCAGTAGAAGAGCTCTGGTAAACGAAAATGAAAATTTAAAAGAGAGCGTCACAACAATATCTAATATAGTTACGTTAATGCTAAATCACTCCATGGATTTAAACAGTTGGGATCCGAAATTGAGTTAAATGCTAAAACAAACACACATGGAGGAGAAAGACGGCTTACGACTAACACTCTTTTTCCTAAACAGATTGATAAGCTTACCTCCTAAGAATTTCTTCTCGTAGGAACAAGCTCCGAATTCATTTGAGTTTATCATCGGCTCTTCATTCCTCCATCTCCAAACAGAGCAGAATCGTGAAAATTCATCGCCACCTTTTTCTAGTGAGAACGTTAAAGCTCCAAATTCCTCCAACGCCACTGAGTAAACTCAGGGGAGGAGGAAATGCAATTTCCTTCGCGCACTGAATTTCAGCTGCGACTGAACCTCCCAAAAAGATCTTCAGGAAACAGAGGAATCTGCTCAGGAATCAACACAGGCAATACAAAATTCAGCGATGAATGGATTAGGCGGCATTTAGTTTGCGAAATCTGGAAAGAATCGGATACGAAATTGAGATTTAATGGCAGAAAGAGAGAGCTCAAACATGGGGAAATCGCAGACGAGGGAAAGAAATCGTTTGAGATCGTCGTATTTATATGGAGGAGGAAGAGGTTAACGACGTGTGATTTCACCGTTATATAACGGAAAATGGTTCGTGTCCGTGAGTGAGAAACCGTTAAGATGGGAGGGAATTTACAGAGCCTGTGGTCTCAAGCAAATAAGACATTTGGGGCCCACATGTCCTGGTCAGGTGGCCACGTGGCATCTTGTTACTGGCTTTGATGTTATTTGAGTTGATGATTGGGTCATTTTATATTTACGCTAAACTATGATCTTTTTCCTATTAAAATATTAGATAATTGGTTGCTATAAATTTTAAATTAAAGTGTTTTGGCCAATGATTGAAGTTTTTTGGGTTGAGTTAGTGTAAATTCAACGTCCTAATATATAATACTAATTTTAAAATTGAAACTATATGAATATACACACGCATGAGAAATAGAAGTGTTTAGTAAGTTTCTTTCATTTTGATATAAATCCATTACAAAACGTCTAATTGATTTGATTTAGTTATATTTTTATATTCATATTCATATTTATATTTTAGTTTATATGCAAAAGTCAATGATGTACCAAAAATATCCTTCAAGTAAGTACAGAGCGAGATTTCATTCTCTCTATCATTCTCGTTGCTGGTTATGCAAAGAGCCAAGAGAGTTCGTTTTTTTGGTTTTCGATGTAAAGTGATGTGTTTTGTAACCTAAATAAGTTTAAAAGCATTCATATATAATAATTAATGATTAATACATAATAGAAAACCAGACCAGACATCAATAGATTTACCTTTAACTTTCTTAAACAAATAATATTCCCTTCATCATATTTTATAAGAAATTTTCTGATTAATTAAATTAAAAATATTAATTAAATTAACTAAATATAACTTAGAATTTTATTTTTTTAAATAAATATTTTCTCTATTTAAAAATATAAGACATTTTTAATTGAATATTAACCCTCAATAAAATAGTTATTTATTTTCAAACTAACCTTATCTTTTTATATTTATTTCTATTTAATAGAGTGTTTCATCCTAAAATAAATATAAAATAATTTATTCAATAGGGACACTTTAAAAAATAATAATAATTACACCTTAAGAGACTAAAAATATTTTACATTTTTTAACATTCAACATTTCAAAAATTATCTTATATTTTTTAACAGATGAAGTATACGCTTTTACAAACATCCTTCATTTAATGAGAGATACAAAGAAATAAAGATAATTAAAGAGTGAAATAATCAGGAGTGATTTTTAAATAAGCTTTATTAATTAATCATTATTTTTCAAAACATTTTATTATGAAACATACATAAGTCATCCAAAAGAATATCTTATACTTCCTTTATTGAAAAATATAAGATATTTTAAATTGAATCCTATCTCTCAATAAATTAGTTAATTGCCTTTAAATCAATACCATCTTTTCATAAATTATCCTTATTTAATAATGTGTTTTATTTAAAAATATCTATAAAATGATTTATTTATTGAGGGAAATTTTGGGAGAAACACATTAATTACATTTTAAAATACTAAAAAGCCTTACATTTTTTTAACATACAGCTCTTAAAAACTTGTATTTTTTTAACAGAGGGAGTTAAATGAGGAAAAATGAGTACAATAATTAAGATTGTTGTATATTCAAATTATAGATATGCAAAGGTGATATGATGTTTTACCAAGATTTCTTATACATACTCAGTCCAAACAAGATTTCTATCATCTTTCATTATTGTTTCCTTTGAGTTGTTTGAAGGTGCTTGAGAATTAATAGACACTCCTTCTGTTTTTAGATATAAGAGAAACTATCACATGTTTCTTTGTTTTTAATTGGAAGCAAAACTACAAATTTTAAAAAGCATTAATTATATTTTTTTATTTAAATAGTCCCTCATAAATGGATAGTATCATTAAATTAAAGGGGGGAAATAAACATTAATTATAAAAGATATTTTAGTCCAAACATTTCAATTTCAAACATAGTTATTAAAACTAATTAATTTTTTTAAACTGAATGAGTTGATTGAAACTCTTTTGCATTTGAAAACGTAGGAAATGCAGGGCATAGAATTAATCAATTAATACTATTGTAAATATATAAGGTACTATCTCCCAGCAACAATCATTACTTGTTTAACGATACTAAGTGTGAGACACTTATATATGTATGAGTGGGTTGATCAAAACCTAAACACGCGTGATTCTGCAATGTACAATAAAGACGATCGATCAAGAGAGAAAAGAAGAAGACGACATTGCTTAAATGTTAAGCTTTTTAATCTATGACTCTTTTAGAGTCGAGAGACAATAAGTTTGCATGTACGAGAAGCTACACCGTGCATGCATATGCTACACCGAATTAACCTATAGATACCTATATACCTACCTACTACCTATATAAAATAACAAAGCTTACCTTAACCTTCCTACCCATGATCGATCACATTTATTCTAAACCCAATCACTTACATATAAGCTTTTTAGCGATCCTTTTCATAAAAGTTTTCAATTGTCTTAATTGTCTCATCTTCTACTTTCTTTACCACCACACATGCTTCTTCCTTATATATTCGTCTCTGAAATCCCCCATTCGTCCCCAAGTGCTTTTCCAGTTCATTCCATGATCGTTTTTCCACTTCTGATACCAACTTGGTTCCAAAAAGCTCTCATTCCATGATCACATATATATAATCTTAGTTCCGTTCCCTTATGATTGAAGTACCAAGGATATATTTTTTTGGACAGAATCAAATGTGACGAGGTCTTAGAAAAGGTTTCGTCCAATGAATAGCAAAGTCCCAGACGGTCCCTAATTTATCTAACTACACTCTAGCTCTGTCCTGCTATATACACAGTGCAACACTATTCCCTCAGAGTGTGAAAATCAAATTAAATATGTTAAAAAGTTGCAAATCATTCTTTTCATCATGTCGATATGATCCGTCGTAAAAGTTGCAGACTGGCCGGTTCCGTTGGATCTTTAATTTCCAGCTGATGTGAAAACATTTGTAAATACTGCATATATATACGTTAATACGTTATAATGTAACTCTGACGTGTGCAATATATTTAAAAACTTGTTATGATTTTGTAGAAAACAATTAATGGTGAATTGGCATGGTGGGCAAGTGATGTGCTTTAACTTTAACCCACTGCTATTTTTGTCCTCTGGCTTTATTCCTGGGGCTAACCTCTCTTTAAGCAAAGAATGCTTGGAGTAGAGGGACACCAAATTAAACCGTCCAAATAAAATAACATACTGCAAATTTCTTTCTTCTCTTTCTCTCTCTCCCTCACACACACACACTCTTAGACTGCGCAATCTTTCTGTTGTGACCTCATTTAGGGTTTTCCTCTCTCTGGCCTTGTGATGTAATCTGAAGATGGGCCTTCCACGTGTCAACATCTGGGTGGTCTGCTTTAGCTAAAGAGGCTCTCGCTAGATCTTGTTAAGGAAGAAAAGCATATGTAGTCAAGGTCCAAGTTTTGGTTTTGAATACAGTTCAAAAATTATCCGACACTTTAATTATTATCTCTGTCGTTTTTTTATCTTCTATCTATGCATGTAAAGAGAAAACACAGCCAAAACAAAAAAAAAAGTCTCTTAAAACGTCGACCAAATAAAGAGAAAAACGAAACCGCAATTTTTCAAAATAAAAGTATATGTACATCTCTCTCTCTCTCTCTCTCTCTCTCTACATCTTAAATGATATAAATCGTAATCCTACTCAAGCATAAGTCAAATACTAAGATTATGGGATAACAGTATAGGCTAAATAATTATAGTTTTTACCACGTGATTAATTAAATGGTTAATATCTATATATTGATAAACGTATAGTTCAACATATATAACCACAACATAATTAAATATATGTCAGAAGAATTAATTCCTACTTCATCATCCTGAAATATATGTTGAGAGAGCTGTATAGGATCTATATGGTTGAAGCAAGTGAGATTCAAAATGTGGTTTGAAAGCAGAGAACAAGGAAGCATGGTGGGGGATTAGACCACTTTTAACGTTAAGAATGCTGGCGAGTATTTTACAGGCGAGAGAGAGGGGGGGGGTATAATAATAATAGTATAGTTTGAAAAGTGATCATAAAGCTACTCATTCAGCGATCCTCCTACAAAGTGGAGATCTCCAATAGTGTTTCTTTCTCCATTTCCAATGCTTAGGGTTTGATAACTTTGGTTATTATGTGCGTGAGAGAGAGAGAGAGAGAGAGGTGTCTTTTGATTAAAAGAAGAGACCAACAAGTGGGCTATGAATGAAGTGTAGCCTAGTCTACGTTGCGCAATTACTGTTGAGTGAAGCTTTTTAAGTGAAACCGTACCTCTGTCTCTCTGTGCTTGAGCTGCTGCAGCTGCTAACTGCACTAATGCCATTACTGATCACTTTGCATATATAACGGTGGGAATTCTGAATTCAAACCCAACAATTTTGCCCTTTTTCTACATATATCAAGTATTAATTTAATTAGTTAGACATTAGGTCCATCCTTGAAATAGTTAATTATTCTCACATTTTAGTCTATGTGTTTTATCCTTCAAAATTGCGCACACACGCACACATGCACGCTTCCACTTCTGCATGATGTATGATTGCTAATATAATAGAACAAATACAACAGGTCCTCCCACTTTGATAATGCCAAAGCCTTGTTTCTTTCTCTTTATAACAATTAAAAAACTTAATTGATATTTTATAAATCATTTTTAAAATATTGGTACATAGTTGTTAAACTCTAGAGTTGATTGTTTGAATTTAACATTTTTAAATTTTTAACTAATAAAATCTTATCAACTCACTCATAAATTTGGAATAGATACAAATTTGAGTTTACCTTTGAATTTATCATTTTTATACTTCTAACTTATAAAATTGTGTTGACTAATTCATAAATTTAGATTAAATGCAAACTTAGTTAAAATTGTTAAGCTCATTATTTTTTTTTGACTTGAAC